TTATAGCAATATTACTAACTATTAACACATTTAAAAATCTACATGACGTCACTATTTTTCTACAGATCCGTTAGTCATGAATCTAAATTATCTTTTTCTAATACATACAAATCAATGAAGTTATATACAAAATATGCACGAGGTCTGCTTTAAGGAACAAGCAAACCAAAATATTTTTTCAGTCCATCCTGCAGCATCTCACTAACTTTAATAGACTTTAGCGTCTTGAACATTTCTCGCAAATATTTGAATCTTACTTAATTACACGTGACACTTATCTAACCAATCAGAAATGGCCAAACACAACATACCATTAATCTGCGTGTTTTTGCTTTCTATCATTTCTGTCTTGATCTTTGACGAAGTTTTAATAAAGTGAAACATGTTAGATTAAGATCTATTTCTTACTTATTATTTATCCCATATATATATATATATATATATATATGTATGTGTGTGTGTGTGGCCAAATTGGTAATGCCAACCTTCGACTATAAGTGTGGATTTCTTGATGGAAAACACACTTTTCTTTTTGTAGGACTTGTCAGTCTATCTTGCCCGTTTATTATTAACTTCATTGTTAAAGTAATAATAATAATAATAATATATATATATATATATATATATATATATATTTACTGTTGAAGTAAATATATATATATATATATATATATATATATATATATATATATATACTTCAACAGTGAAGTTAGTAATAAACCTAACCTGAACAAAATAAACTACGGAATCTCCACAAATATTCTTAAATGCCTATAATTGATAACGGAAGCCATTGGTTTATACCAACGGCTTCCCATACTTAATACTTCTCGCATTTACATTTTTGAAGAACAAATTTAGCTGGAAAGCATGTAGCCGGAAAAGAGTTCCACAGGTAACATGTGCGAGAAAACATACTCTTAGCAGAGAACTTACAGTTACAGCAATTTCAACTGTAAATTGATGGGACCTTTGAAAAATTATTAAACTATTCATTCTTTTCTTCATAAACATTTTCAACAAAGATTTCTAACTGCTGCATAGAAAAATACATATACATATATAATTTTTTTAATCATCTCACCCCACGCAAAGCAGTAAAGCCACTGAGACACAAGGGCTTACTGAGTCTCAAGAATAAAAAAGAAAAGCATATTAATGAGCGAGAACAATAGAAGAGTAACCAGGAAGGCAGTAGATAGCGATTGATATTGCATTTAAATTTTTGAAGAACAAACTTGTCTGGAAAGCAAGAAACCGGAAGATAGTTCCACAAGCAAGAAGTGCGAGAAAAGAAAAGGTTAGCATAGAACTTACGGTTACATCTATCCAATTCAACTGTAAAATGATGAGACCTTGTTGCCAATTTTGTACTACGTTTAAGTTCAAAAAGTCTAGGTACTATAGTGAAGAGGGATATTTATTTCTGCTATGTACAGAAATATGGCACAAGACCAAATGGGGGATGGAGGAAAAGGACGGTCTTCTTTAGTCTTAAAATTAAACTTAGCTAGCCACAATAACTGACCAAAACATACCACAATATTCCTTACACCAAAACAACACATCATTACTTATTACATCCACCATAATACCTCATTGTCTTTCTCAATGTCCTAACAAAGCGAAAAGAGATATTTATTCCGCTTATATAGAGAAATATGGCACAAGACCAAAATGAGAAACGGGGAAAAAGACTATCTTCTTCTGTCTTAAAACTAAACTTAGTTAGCCACAAACACTGACCAAAACATACCACAATATTCCTTACACCAAAACAACACATCATTACTTATTACATCCACCATAATACCTCATTGTCTCTATGAAAGTCCTAACTAATCCCCATATGTACAATTCATTGTCTGTTGGGTGGGGGATAAAATAACGATTAAAAAAAACCCCTAAATCCCAATGAACCATAGCGAAGAGCGATATTTATTTCCGCTTGACATACAGAAAATGTGGCACAAGGCCAAAATGGGGGATAGAGAAAAGTACGGTAATCTATCTTAACAATAACCTTAACTCGCCAAAAAACACTGACCCAAATATACCATAATATTCCTTACACCAAAACACCGCATTCTTACTGTATCCACCATAATACCTCAATGTCTCTATGAAAATCCAAACTAGTCCCCTTATGTACAATTCATTGTCTGTGGTGGTGGTGGGGGGATAAAACAACAAATTTACCATAGCGAAGAGCACACCCGAACAATTACCATGAAAGCATTTATAGAAAAGACGCAGAAAGCAACTTTTTGGCGGTAGGAATATGACTAAAGCCGAAACGACGCGTCAGGACCAATAATATTGTTGATTCGTCTTTGGATTTTATCAAAAATCTGTAAATATAAAGCAGAAGCACTGGACCACATGTGGCAGCAATATTCAAAGCAAGGAAGAACGGTAGACATAGATATGTATGATAGATTGAGGAGAGAAAAAAATGTCTAACACGCCACAGTGAATCAATTTTATTAGAGGCAGACCCAGCAATGGCTCCAATATAACCTTTCCACTTCATGTTATTCGATAAAGCGCAACAAGTCACTCTCCTGGAGGTTAGCATCAGCCATGGGATTAATAGAGAGCACTTTTGTTTTGGAAGCGTTAAAATTAACAAGCCATCAGTTGCCCCAGTTAAAAGACTAGTGGTGTTTTTTTGAAATCAGCCGCCAATTTGACCATACTGATCTGATCATACTTACTGTGGAGACTGGAATAAATGGTTGCGTCATCAAAATAGATACCAGTTTGATATTAAAATAATTCCTGCGCTTTTTAAGATGTTTTGCTTTGATATCTTTAAAGAAAATCATCAGTGGTTCGTTAACCACTTTCTTTAAGGTATAATACTGTGAAGGATAATAAGGAACGAACACAAAATGGGAAAACAAAATCTTGAAGACTTGGTCTCGTGTTAGTATTTAAACTAGGAACAAAAGCAGCAGAAGCCGCTCAGAAAATATAAAAAGAAGAGACATGGCACGTGGAACTAGAACAATCTACCCCGGTGGACGAAATAAAGGGTACGGTTCGAAATCCCAATCACCTGACGAAGGCCGGAGTGTACAACGGCTGAAATGTTGAGAATATGGAAATGAAGACGAGGATAACAGTTCGAATAATGCAAGTAATCATAATACCTCATGTGAGAGATATAGACAGATATATAGATATACCGTAATTCCCTATGTATAATACGCATTATTTCTAAAAAGTAATTAGCAAAATGAGGGGTGCGTATTATGCACAGTTACAAAAAAATCTTTAAAAAAATTGTCGTAAAAGAAAATAACAATTATCATAAAACTAAATTCGAATAATATTATTCAATGTTTTTATTTTTTTTGCTAAAAGTAGGAATCATATTCATTGCCATATTCACAACAAAGAGTTGTGAGTTCATTACCAGGCCACAGAAGTGGTAAACAAAACTTGGGGAGTTGAGTTAAAGGGTAATAACTGAGACATCCGGAAGAAGCATGTCACGTGGAACTAGAAACATTTACTCCAGTGGGCGAAATAAAGGGTTCGGTTCGAAATTCCAATCACCCGAAGAAGGCCGGAGCATACAATGGCCGAAACGTTGTGAATATGGCAATGAAGATGAGGATAACAGTACGAATAATGTAAATAATGCAAATAATCCTAATTCCTTATCTCAGAGATATAGAAAGATATATAGAGACGTATAAAGGCCGGAGCGTACAACGGCTGAAACAGTCATTGAATATAGACAGACACTATATAGAGAGACATAGACATAAAAAGGCCGGACATACAATATCGAATAATGTAAATAATGCATCCTAATGAAGATATATAGAGGATAAAGGCCGGAGTCCGGAATGTAAATAAAAGGCCGAGCGTGCAAGTAATCATAATCATAATACCTCATCATCTTAGAGATATAGACAGATAATATGGAGACATAGACATGCAAGTAATCATAATACCTCAATATGACCGAAACGTTGAAGAATATGTGAATGATGAGGATAACAGTCCGAATAATGTAAATAATGCAAGTAATCATAATACCTCATCTCAGAGATATAGACAGATATATAGAGACATAGACATAAAGGCCGGAGCGACAACGTCCCCGAAACGTTGTGAATATGGCAATGAAGATGAGGATAACAGTCCGAATAATGTAAAAAACGTAATGCAAGTTCATAATACCTCATCTCAGAGATATAGACAGATATATAGAGAGACAACATAAGGCCGGGCGTATCCCCGAAACGTTGTGAATATGGCAATGATGAGGGATAACAGTCAGAATAATGTAAATAATGCAATAATCATAATACCTCATCTCAGAAATAACAGATATATAGAGACATAATCAAGGCCCTCAACGTCTTGTGAATATGGCAATGAAGATGAGGATAACAGTCAGAATAATAATAAAATAATGAATCATATAAGATGAGGATAACAGTCAGAATAATGTAAATAATGCAAGTAATCATAATACCTCATCTCAGAGATATAGACAGATATATAGAGAGACATAGACATCAAGGCCGGAGCGTACAACGTCCCCGAAACGTTGTGAATATGGCAATGAAGATGAGGATAACAGTCAGAATAATGTAAATAATGTAATCATAATACGGGAAACGTTGTGGAATATGGCATCTGAGGATAACAGTCAGAATAATGAAATATAGACATCATAATACCATCATCTCAAACGTTGTGAAATAATAAGACAGATATATAAATAATGAGAGACATAGACATCAAGGCCGGAGCGTACAACGTCCCCGAAACGTTGTGAATATGGCAATGAAGATGAGGATAACAGTCAGAATAATGTAAATAATGTAAGTAATCATAATACCTCATCTCAGAGATATAGACAGATATATAGAGAGACATAATGTATAAAGGCCGGAGCGTACAACGTCCGAAATGTTGTGAATATGGCAATGAAGATGAGATAACAGGAAAATGTAAATAATGCATAATAAATGAAGATTCATATCTATCTATTTATAAAATTTCATTATCTATCTATCTATCTATCTATCTATCTATCTATCTATCTAACATTACTTATTTGACCATTGACTTACAAATAAACCCATAATCTTTGGAACGCCACAATCGTTCTTCGTAATACAATTTGTCTGTTTTAATTTTTAACTGCGAACGAATTCAGATTTTCTCTGACGTTATGTAATCTTATTTGGTTTCAGGCCAGAAAAATTATGTTTCGTAGGTTAAAAAAAAAAAAAAGCAGATTTGATATTGATATCAAAATGAAACGAAGGAAAGAGAGTTTTGAAACAAACTGACAACGTGGGATTACCATACGAAAATAATTTTATGCAATAAAACACGGACCTCTTCCCACATCCGATTGTTATAAAAATTGACTGAAACAGACGATAAGGAAAATTAAATTATCTTGGTCGTCTGAAGACTGGGAAAAAAGTCGTCTAATATTGTTTTCCCTCTTCTCTTTTGTCTTTCAAAATAAATAATTAAATATATATATATATATAAAAAAAATGAAAAAAGGCGTTTGTATCTGATTGCGTCTGAGATTATAGCTTAGTAATTTATAACGTGGATCAGACCGGAAATGATGTATTGCTGCCATATTTGGGTTGGAGCTGTTGTAAACTTGACAGAATTCAAAATTGTTTATTCGCCCTTGTAAGGAGGGGTGCCATTTCCCACCTTACATCCTTTTTACTTACAGGCGCATTCCTTAGCACCACTAATTCAGACCTTTACAACTAAGAACCGTCGAAAGGTTTGAATCACTCATTCATTCCGTATTCTATTTGTATTCAAACAGCATTTTCCCAAGAACCGCTACTTTTGTGAAACAGACACCGATAAGAATGCTTACACGGGCATTAAAATCTTAACCTCTTCAAGTCAAAAGATTGATTCGTTTTCTTCGTCTTATCAGCCCTCTGCAAATTATTTAAAACCAGAAAATATTTATAGATTGTAAGAAATCTTTTTTGATATAATGATTTAGTGACACAAGTCTTACCAATTGTTATGGTGACCTATCTTACATTAGAATGAACCCTTCTTCCTTCATAGATACTAACCTACGAGATTTCCTAAGCAGGCAGTCGATCCACAGTCTCTGACTGTGTGCGACTTCTGTCGAACTCTCTGCTTTGGCAGAGAGAAACCCGGACGAAGCTTTGCCGAAAGGCAAAGTTTTGTCCCGGGAGGTAAACAGATCCCGAACCCGCGTATGCGGGTTCAAAGGGAATATTTTTTGGCCGAGCCTACGGACTCGAAGAAACCCACATTAAACTCGGCCTTGTGCCACATACATTCCTCGTGGGGGGACTGTTAAATATACAGACAGTCGACACGCAGTCTCTGACTATGTGCGACTTCTGTCGAACTTTCTGCCTCGGGAGGTAGACAGACCCTGAACCCGTTTATATGGGTTCTATGGGAATATTTTTGGCCAAGCTTACGGCCTCGGAGAATTCACCGTAAACTCGGCCTTGTGCCACATACACCCCTCGTGGGAGGCTGTTAAATATTGACAGTTGGTATAGTTCGGACAGACACTTCTATCTGCTGACTAATAACCCTCTTATTTTGTATATATGTTCTGTTATTTCAATACACTTGTTCAACCTTCCTTCTTCTTTCCGTGTCTTACTTTCTGGCCCCTAACAGGCCACAACACTAATTATCCCATAGGTGGGGAAAGAGGCGGATTCATACCCTCCCCAAATAATGTTAACATTGTTCGAAAACGGTTATTCGAAAAACATTTATTCGAATTGTAAATTGTTTGAATGAAAATGAATCGAAAGGACAATTATATTAAATAATAATTATTCGAAATGCAAAATTATTTATTGCAATAAAAATGTCAAAATTAAAAAAGGAAATACACAAATGATAATTATTCGAAATACAAATATCGTTAATAAAACAATTTAGTAAGAAAAAGTCCTTACAACTTTAAGTTATATGATACTACACGCAGTCAGCTACTGAAGACTATTCGTTAAAGGAAGCCACTAATTTTTTAAAGTTTTCCATTTACGCCGCGGTATTTCTTGGAGATCTTGATATTTTGACAATCTGCTCTTACTTTTGCAATATGAATTTCTTGTTAGTTCTGTTCTCTTTTAAGAGTGTCTAAGAATTTCTATATTGTGGAATGATGGGATGATACTTTCAACAAAAAAGCCCTATACCATCCTTCAAGAGTGTTATTAGTTCTAGGTAAATCAACATTGACTCTCAAAGCAAAACACATATGTATTTCAAACATAAGTATTTCGAAAAAAATTACCATTTAATGTAATTGTCCTTTCAATTAATTTTCATTCAAACGATTTACAATTCCAATAAATGTTTTTCGAATAACTGTTTTCGAACAATTTTCTTGATGGCAACAATATTCAAAGCAATGACGAATAGTTGACTTATAAATATGTAAGATATATTCTTACAGGAAAATTGTACCATGACATTGTGAACAAATTTTCTTAGCTGCAGACTTAGCAATTAATTCAATATCCATTTTCAACTTCCTATCAGTGAAAAACGTACATTCATCCGTAGCGTGTCTTGGGCAATTTGACTTGTCAGAATAGAAGAAAAAACACTATTAAAAAGACAGAAGGTAACACTTGGCATTGTGTTTAAATTTTTGAAGATCAAAGTTGACTGAGAAGCAACAAGGTGGAAGCGAGAAATGTGAGAGTAGAAACTATTAGCCTTGTGCCGCATACATTCCTCATGGGGGCGGGACTGTTAAATATCAACAGTCGATACGCTGTCTCTGACTGTGTGCGACTTCTGTCAAACTCTCTACCTTGAGCAGAGAGGAACCCCAACGAAGTTTTGCCGAAGGGCAAAGTTTCGTCCGGGGAGGTAGACAGGCCCTGAACCTGTTTATGTGGGTTCTAAGGTATTCTTTCTTAGCTGCAAACTTAGCAATTAATTCAATTTACATTTTCCACTTCCTGTCAGTGAAAAACGTCTATTCATGCGTAGCGTGTCTTGGGCAATTTGACTCATCAGAATAGAAGAAAAAACACTATTAAAAAGACAGAAGGTAACACTTGGCATTGTGTTTAAATGTTTGAAGATCAAAGTTGACTGGGAAGCAACAAGCTGGAAGAGGATTCCACAAGCAAGAAGTGCGAGAGAAGAAACTATTAGCATAGAACTTACGGTTATATCTAGCAATGTCAATGGAATTACCACAAGCAAAATATATAATGTTATTTACTTCATTTCTTGACATTTTTGGTATTTTGGCAACCCACTCTTACTTTTGCAATACGAATTTTTTTGCAAGTCCTGGGAGTATCTATTTCTAATTTTCTGCTAATTAATTTTGACTAGTATCTTCATCTTTGTTGTTTGGATCACTGTACTGGGCCGGTGCACTTTCCGACTTTCCCTGTGTTGTCTGAAGTTTTTGGATGACACATTGCTAATGTTTTATGAAGTATTCAAATTAAGTTTTGCTATTTATCAGCACCCCTCCAAACGGAATATGGCACAATGCTATTCTAAAAGCGGGAATCCCATGGGATTAGTGACAAAGAGATTCTCAGCTCCTTTCGTACATCCCTTTTTGGGTCATCTCAAGCACTAGGGATTAACCCCTGACCCTTTAACCTTTAAGTTAAATGGGAGATATGTTACCTGGGGAAGTTGGGCGATTGTCTTGAGGCGATTATTACTCTGATTAGGGTTAATATTTGAGACGTATTCACAAGTTATTAAGAATCGACGAAAAGAGATTAAGAGAAAATATCGAACAAGTACCACTGTTCGCCTGGGAAAATTATAATCCAATCTTTACTGTTCCAATGTAGCTGTAGAAACATATATGTAGATAATGATAATGATAATAATAATAATAATAATAATAATAATGAGAAGAAGAAGAAGAAGAAGAAGAAGAAGAAGAAGAAGAAGGGGGAGGAGAAGAAGAAGAAGAAGAAGAAGTAGAAAGAAAATGGTAAACTTGTGATTATCAGATATGGAAATGAAAAAACTGAGGAGGAGAAGAAAAAGAAAGAGTAACATAAGTAAAAAAAAAATAAATCACCAGTAAAGAAACGAGATAAAGAGATAAAAATGAAAGAAAAGGAAGATGATGATGATGTTAATAATAATAATGATAATAATAATAATAATAATATGAAGCAGAAGAAAAAGAAGACGAAAAAGAAGAGCAACAAGAACTAGAAGAAGAAGAAAAAAAGAAAGGGAAGAACAAGAGCTAGAAGAAGAAGGAGAAGAAGAAGTAGAAAATGAAGATGAATGTTAAAAATAAGAAAGGGAAGAAAAAGAAAAAGAAGAAGAAGAAGAGGAAAGGGAAGAAGAAGAAGAAGAAGAAGAAGAAGAAGAAGAAGAAGAAGAAGGATGAACTAGAAGAAGAAGAAAGGGAAGAAGAAGAAAGAGACAATTAGAAGAAGAAGGAAAAACCTTTTTTTTCTTTTTTAATGAATTCCTTAGTGACCCTTCCGCTACTCAGTAGGACGGGATGGGGGGGGGGTGTTTGATGAGATCATTAAGTTGAACATGTCTTTAGTTTTTGTTCGGCATCACCTCTGGAATCGCCTGAAATGAAAGCTGTGTGAACCTTTATACAATTAATTTGAAATTATATTTTTCTTCTCTTTTTAATTTTATTTTATTTAAATCTATTTGACATTTCATTTAATTTAAAAAAAATATATTTTTTATTTTATTTTATTTTTTCGTAATAACTTCCAATGTACCGGGTGTAACAGCAAAATTGTCCATCTCACAAAAATGTTTAATATCTAAAGATCCACTAAAATAATAGAGTTTCTTTTTTTCCAGATTTTCAGATAAGACGTTTAGCTATCCTGTCAACAGTTGTCGTAAGAATCACTGAAAAATCATTTCAATTATTCAACTAGAAAGAGTACAGGTTAAAACCATTTTGTGTCAGCTCCACCATGTCTGACTAACTGAGCAATGGTGAGAGGAAAAAGATCATTTGAGGCCTTCAGTAATAGTTTCATTCAAGATCCATCAAAAGAACCGTTAATAAGTTTATTTACTTAAGTCACGTGATGAGACTTACTAGCAACAAACATC